GGTAACGTTACGTACGTACGTACGTCGTACGTACGTACGTACGTACGTACGTACGTACGTACGACGTACGTACGTACGTACGTACGTACGACGTACGACGTACGTACGTACGACGACACACACACACACACACACACACACACACACACACACACACACACACACACACACACATACACACACACACCACAATACGGACAGACAGATATATTGATATGTTCATGCACAGCACACGGTACCTATAATGTGTGCACTTTTGTACAATTTAATTTAAACAAATCAGTTTTGAAATGCTTCAGAATAAGTTTTTAGGTAAAAAGATAGGTACATAAGGACATTGTCATTTTATCTTTATCCCGAAACACCTCAAATAAACTCCTTTGAGTCCAGGAAACGCCTTTAATGACCTTTACATGTTGCCTCTGATCGCAGGGCTTCTTCCGGAGGAGCATCCAGCAGAACATCCAGTATAAGAAGTGCCTTAAGAACGAGAGCTGCCCCATCATGAGGATCAACAGGAACCGCTGCCAGCAGTGCCGCTTCAAGAAGTGCCTGTTGGTGGGGATGTCCCGGGACTGTGAGTACTGAACCATAAAAAAATCAATACTGGGGGATAAAACATTAATACAAACAAACTGGTATTACTTTTGAGAACACACCTCATGTCTGTGGAACGTTGTTGGCATATACATTATGTTTTGTGCTGTGCCACATGTGTTGTTGACATTTAGTTTTTCTATTTGTTTTGTTCTGTTATTATAACGCCTTGTGCGGAATGCTTTGGCAATACTATGTTTAAAATGTGTTCATGCCAATAAAGCCCCTTTGTCTTGTATTGTAACGTACGCCCCACCAAAGGTGAGTCCCTCTCAAATATATTCCCTCCCTCCTCAGCGGTGCGTTTCGGGCGGATCCCGAAGCGGGAGAAGCAGCGGATGCTCCTGGAGATGCAGAGCGCCATGAACAACATGATGAACAACCAGAACCAGAACCAGAACCAGCTGCTCGTGGGCCAGATCCACCAAAACCAGCTGCTCGGGGGCCCCATGCTGCCCTGCCCTCTCCCAGCCAATGACGCTACCTCAGAGAACGCAGGCCTCGCCCCCTGCCCTCGCTCCAGCCAATCAGACGTGGGCGTGGCCATGGACACCAGCTCTTCCTCTCCCTGTGCGTCTGACAGCCTATCAGAGGAGGCGATTGGCTCCGTGACTCGGGCCCACCAGGAGACCTTCATGTACAACCAGGAGGCCCCGCCTACTTCCGCCAAGGTCCCGCCCCCTTCCACTGAGGCCCCACCCCCTCAGGACAGCTGGAACCACAACAGCAACAACATGGGGACCCTGCAGGACCCCCAGGAGGCCACGCCTCCTCCCACCCACTGCCCCTTCAGGGGGTCCAGAGGCTCCGCCCCCTACGCACATGTGGCCTTTGTAGCTCCGCCCCCTGAGGGTCCTGTAAACACTGCCAACAGCGCCCCCCCGTGGAGAGGAGGCAACAGGATGCACCTGGTGAGAGACAGAGATTTCTTTCTTAATATACAAAATGTAGTTTGTCATTTCTTCCCCATAGGGTACATCAGAACGCACACAGTTTAATATCCTCCCTCCCTCCCTCTCTCTTCTCTTCTCAGGTGTGTCCGATGAACACTTCTCCTCACGTGGATCCTCACAAGTCGGGACACGAGGTTTGGGAGGATTTCTCTCACAGTTTCACCCCCGCCGTCAGGGAGGTGGTGGAGTTCGCTAAGAAGATCCCGGGTTTCAGAGACCTGTGTCAACACGACCAGGTCAGCCTGCTGAAGGCCGGCACCTTCGAGGTAAAATAATAATAATAATAATGCGTTTATTTAGTGTAACACCTTTCACAGAAATACAATTCACAAAGTGCTTCACAAGAAAGAGCTAGAGTTCAAATGAAGACCACAGAAACATGAATACAATAAGAACATGAGGCAGACAGTAAGGTTAACATAAAAACAAAACACAGAGCACGTTGAGAGTGTGTGTGTGTTTGAGGTGTGTTTGTTTGAGGTGTGTGTTTGAGGTGTGTGTTTGAGGTGTGTGTTGTTGAGGTGTGTGGGTTTGAGGTGTTAGGGTTTAGGGTTAGTGTGTGTTGTTGAGGTGTGTGTTTGAGGTGTGTGTTTGAGGTGTGTGTGTGTTTGAGGTGTGTGTTGTTGAGGTGTGTGGGTTTGAGGTGTTAGGGTTTAGGGTTAGTGTGTGTTGTTGAGGTGTGTGTTTGAGGTGTGTGTTTGAGGTGTGTGTGTGTTTGAGGTGTGTGTGTTGAGGTGTGTGTTTGAGGTGTGTGTTGTTGAGGTGTGTGTGTTGAGGTGTGTGTTTGAGGTGTGTGTTGTTGAGGTGTGTGGGTTTGAGGTGTTAGGGTTTAGGGTTAGTGTGTGTTGTTGAGGTGTGTGTTTGAGGTGTGTGTTTGAGGTGTGTGTGTGTTTGAGGTGTGTGTTTGAGGTGTGTGTTGTTGAGGTGTGTGTGTGTTTGAGGTGTGTGTTTGAGGTGTGTGTTGTTGAGGTGTGTGTGTGTTTGAGGTGTGTGTGTTGAGGTGTGTGTTGAGGTGTGTGTTGAGGTGTGTGTTGTTGAGGTGTGTGTTGAGGTGTGTTTTGTTGAGGTGTGTGGCTGATGTGTGTTGTTGGTGTGTTTTTGAGAGGTGTGTGTTTGAGGTGTTAGGGTTTAGGGTGTGTGTGTTTCTGAGGTGTGTGTTTGAGGCGTGTGTTGTTGAGGTGTGTGTTTGAGGTGTGTGTTTGATGTGTGTTGTTGAGAGGTGTGTGTTTGAGGTGTGTGTTTGATGTGTGTTGTTG